TAAAAATCATATTTCAATAGTTAATAAAAAAGACGTGATAATTTGTTCCTAAAAAAAAAAGACATGATAATTTGTAGAATTAATTAATTTAACTATCTTAGTTAGTTTGAAGTTAATGGTTTCTAACGAAATCTTATTTGAAATGTGTTAACTTTTTAAATAAACGTACTCGTTAAATGAAGAAAGTTAAATTTAATGGTTGTTAAATGAAGACGGTTATGTTTAATCTCTAGTTCTTTTGTGTTAAAAATTTGGTGAAGATAAACATATAATTTACCGCCTCATTTACACCAAAGATAACGTTTCCATGAAACTAGAAAATTATGAGTACTGCTATCTTGTATAAAGATTGAGCTAAAAGATTCCCGATATTGATAATTGGGAGCTATGTTCTTCAGCTGCTTGTGTACTAGCATAAGAAACACGTATCAAAGATTAGTTGTACAATTTGAATATGAATTTGACACTTGTTAGATATATGTCAAACACTTTTCTTTAAATTTTCTACTCACATAAAAATGATATATATTTAAAAGAACTAAGAAGATATTAGTGTAGTATTTGTTAAGGAAATTTTGATGGTCTAAAGTTAAGAGAATGCTAAAAATTAGTTTGCTCTAAGTTATGAACAAATAAAATCACTTGAACTTTCTCTAAAATTGGAAAGTTAGCTTCTTAAGTTGCCTAATTACGAAATCATGATGGCTCTCGTATTCAAGATAAAAATTGCACCATGTACCTAGTTTTAATGTTTAATTTGATGAAATTAAAAGTTTAAAGTAAGTTTATTAAGATAAAAATAATAAAAATAATAAATTTTGAAATTTCCCCTTATATTTTGTTATTAATTTCGTTTAAATCACCTTCTCAAACCCATTTTTGGGAGTGTTCTTCATTATGGACAGTCACCAGAAATCACCACAAGAACAGATACCCTCTTTAAAATGATGGAATCTGTTTGCATCCCTCACAACAAGCTCTCTTCCAAAGAATTTGGAAACTAACTTACCGAAAACATGGCAATCGTTGCAGATTCGGAGATTCTTCGTTACACGAATAGCGGTTCTTTCGGGAGTCTTAAGTAAGCCAAATGCAATGGCCAGCCTCTCACTGTGTGCATAAAGCATCTGAACTTTCTCTTCCTCATCTACATTGTGTACAACTAACTTGGTTTGAGGAACATAACCTCCTTCCTTCTCCAATTTCTTGGTAATCATTTCTAGCTTTTGGTAAATCTCGTCGGACTGCGGATGTGATCTATCTCGTGCCACGAAGGTCTGAACCTCGCTTCCGACTTCGACCCAGCTGCATCCCGGACTTTTCTTCAACCCAGTTCTCCTCATCTTCATTCTCACGTCATCTACTTCCTTCCACCTTCCGCAGGTGGCGAAAACGTTTGATACTAGGACATAGTTTCCCGGTTCCAAATCCAACTCCAACAGTTTTTGAGCTGCAACTTGAGCCAACTCTTTATTGCCATGAATCCAACTAGCCCTGAGGAGAGAGCACCAAGCTTCACCAGAGAGTGTAATCTTTGTGCTTTCGACAAATCGATATGCCTCTTCTAAGCAATTGGCACGGGCAAGAAGATCAACGACGCTCACATAATGTTCCGTCCATGGCTCTAATTGGTACTCTGATTTCATAACTCTAAGAAACTTTCTTCCTTCATCAATCAAACCTGAGTGACTACAAGCATTTAGGAGAGATAAAAATGTAATATGATCAGGAGAAAACTTCCACACCATCTCATTGAATGCATCAATGGCTGCTTTACCACGACCATGCATTCCATTTGCATTTATCATTGTAGTCCACAAAATGAGATCCTTACATTTGATGCCATGGAATACCCTTTCTGCAATCTCTATGTTTCCACATCGAGAATACATATCGACTAAAGAGCTTGCAACGGATCCGAAAATGGCGAAACCTTTCCTCATCAGATAGCCATGGATTTCTTTTCCTTTCTTCAATGAAGATAAACTGGCAGCAGCAGAGAGTATGCTCACTAGTGACACGAAATCAGGTTCAATGTTACTCTTTTTCATGCAATTGAAATGTTCAAGAGCTTCATTTGGAAGCCGGTTTCGCACATAGCAGGATATCATGCTGGTCCAAGACACAACATCTTTAGAATCAATAGATTCAAACATATGTCTTGCATAATCTACATTCCCTAAGCCTCCATATGCATCAACAAGGGCATTTTGGAGTACCTGGTCAAATAAAGATCTCCTTTCTATGTAACAATGGATTTCTTTCACAAAGGAAAGACATTTCAGTCCAATACAAGATGACAAGATGCTTCCTACCATCATTGTATCAACATCTATTCCTTCTATCAGAGCCTTCTTGAATAATTCTATGGCACTTACATGTTCATTGTTCAAAGAATAGCCAGCGATAACCGTTGTCCAGGAAATGAAGTCCTTGTCTGGAATCTCATCGAAAACATGACCCATGATCTTCACACAACAACATCTTCCGTACATATCAACAAGGGTGTTCCCAACCTGCAAATCAGAATCTAATCCATGTTTAATAGCATAAGCATGAACCTCCCTTCCATTCATTAATTTTCCCAAACGACCACAAGCTGCAATAACATTTAATATCGCCACTTGGTCGAATTTTTTACCAGGGTCTTGCATGTCATGGAAGAACAAGAGCGCTTCATCATAATGGCCATACTGTACAAAACCAGAGAGAATGGTATTCCATGAGAAGCAATCCTTCTCATCCATTCTACTAAAAGCAGCAACAGCTTCTTTAAGCTTACCACATCTCACATACATGCCAATCAAAGCATTTAACACAAAAATGTCAGCATAGTGGTAGGATTTTAAAACAGAACCATGTATCTCCATGCCCTGTTTCAAAAAATGGGAATCCTCACAAGCTTGAAGAACTGAAACATAAGTGTAAGGATTATTGGTGACATGGGGGGCAACCTGCATTTCCCTAAAAAGTGTTAATGCCTCTACTGATAACCCATTTGCAGAATATGCAGATATCATGGAGTTCCATGACACACTATCACCATTTCCATTCATACCACGAAATAAACATCTCGCATTGTGAAGATTATTGCACTTTGCATACATTGCAACAAGTGAGTTCAGAACAAAAACAACAGAATCATATCCTAATTTGATAGCCAAACAGTGAATTTCTGTTCCAGAATATGGGTTTTTAAGCATACCACAAGCCTTAAGCACACAAGGGAAAGTACAAGAATCAAGAGGAATACCCAAAAGCCGCATGTTTCTATACAACTCAAGTGCTTTCATAGGCTCTCCAACCGAAACATAAGCGCCAATCATCCCATTCCAAGTGAAAATTGTTCTTTCGGACATTTTGTCAAACAGCTTCTCTGCACTCGAAGGAGACCAACAGCTTCCATACATGAAAATGAGTTTAGTGCTCAGAAACACAGAATCGGACAGGGAAAAAGATTTTATCAAGTGGGCATGAATCTGCCGCCCAAGGGATAGAGCTTTCTTACTCGCACAGAGCTCGAGAAGTGGTGAATAAACCTCATCTGAGGAAAATTGGGGTGTTTTTTCGTCCCCAAAAGAATTCCCAATTGATTGAAATGCCTCCCGAAGGGTTGGGTGATTGTAAAACAGATTCAGACCGCGGGTACTAATCGATTTCATTGAATTCTTGGGAAACTGGCGGTGAAAACAGGAATGGGTCTGGTTCCATGTGGAATGAAAAAGACTCCGCGCAGTTGATGAGGAACTGCTGTAGGAATTGGAGATTGAGTTCCCCATAATAGTGATGTATTGGCATAGCAAATCGAAGCTGTGAGCTGAGTGTGATCAAGTCCCATGACAACTGCAGGCAAATGAAGCGATCGTTTAAAATTTCAAATTTAGGAAGGTCTCATTTCATAAGAGATCATATAAAATCTCTCATCAAGGAGGTCTCTCTCTTAGTCCCAGGAGTGGAGTTCTTAATCGACTCGTTTTGACCCAAAGAAGTCTCGAACTTTAAGACTATTATATATTAAAAAAATTATTTTTATTCCTTCATTTTCATTCTCGAATTAAAATTTTCTTGAAATGTAGACATAAATTTTCTTGAAATGTAGACATAAATTTATATTGAAATTTTTTTTACTGTATATAAAATTTTCAAATAGGAGTCATTTTTCATTTTTATTTGAGTTAGATTTTTTTTCTCTAGCAATAATTTTGTCTATTCTGCCTTATTTTATTTTCCTAAAGAAAAGACAAAATACATTTTATCTATTTGGTTTTTGAAGTTTACAAAAGACGCTTGTTTGTAAAATCTACACTATATATAAAAGGAGTTATAGCGATAACGGTTGGTTATGATTTAGTCCTTATTGAGTAAATTTTTTGTTAAGTTTCTTATATAAATAGATTGATAAACTAAAGAGGGACAAAATATGTTTATAAATTAAAAATATTAAATTGTTATTATGATAAAATTTAACACTTAATTTTAATAAATTTTGTTACGATAGAGACTAAATTGTTACAAATTTTAAACTAAATTGTAGGCCAAAATTCAGAGACTAAATTGTTACTTTAGTGAAAATACAGGGACTTAGTCCCAAACTAAAGTTCAAGGACTAAATTGTTACTTTAGTAAAAATATAAGGACTAAATATATTTTTTAACGTTTTCTTTATTAGGTTAGTGGCAATTTTATCATTTCACCTCTCTCTCAAACTATGCTATCCTCCTAATTTTTCTTTTTCTTATCTTTTTAGTACCCAAGTTAAAGTGAAAAGGAAAAAAATAAGGAAAAGAATGGAAAAGTGGAATTTCAAAAGTCGAGAGTTATAATGTTTTAATGGTTAGATAATTATGTTTAGAAAAAATGAATAGAATGGGAAAAGTTTCCTAGTCCACAATTTGCATTGTATTCATCATCTAACATCATAACATAACAAGGCATTGGAATGGAATTACCAGTCACTAACACAAGGATCAAAATACTAAAGTTTCGAGCATCCGAGACAACGAAACAAAACGAAACGTGCTTTTGTCTTTCTGTATATTTCATGAGAAAAGAAATAGAGTTCCATTGCACCATGCAAAGAGAACTATTACCAAAATGAATACAATGAGGCCATAACATCCTCCAACACAGACACCATGGTGAGCACCATCTCACCCAGCTCTCTCTCTCTGATAGCACAACTTCTCCTATATACAATTCTCATTACATACTCATACCCTCGATCAATCTATATTTACACCCAAGGAAAAAAAAGAGGGGGGAAATCTAACATTCTCGCTCAAACCCCGAGAATGTACTAAATTTCACCCGAACATACAAACAAACCGTGTTGAATCACAATCCTACTGCCTGCTGTCAATTAGACCTGCTTTACTCTTCACCAAATTGCAGAGTATAATGCAGTAGAGTAGAAGCATTCATGCTATTCATGTCTCAGATGTTAGTCTCATGCTGCTGAGAAGCCCAGTCTTGCTCACAAGTTAATCATGTTTCACCACCAGGCCAGCCCTGCGGTCATTTTTTGATTTGATCATGCATTTTATTTCCTTCCTCAGTAAGGACAGTAACGAGACCGTTGACGGTCGCCCATGAAGAGCACATCAACTATCAACTTGAAAGTTGAGATATTTGCATTAGTTCTGATTGCCATTTCTCACCCCTGATTCATTGAAGCTGCTGCTTTCAAGCTCTCACCTGGCAATGTCCATGAAAAAAGATGGCCACTGGAATCACCACTCAGTAACTGCTTTAAGTCACTTGTTAGGTGAAGTGCAGTCACTGGATGCTTGTGAAATTTCAGTACCTTATGAAGAATCAATCGATACTCCGCTGCCTTTTCGTCAAGATTCAGACCAAATGTGCTACTACCGGTAGATTTGATCTGAGAAGCAGGATTGGAGCAGTGAACCATTTGCCAAACCTTGACAGCACCACTCTGATGACCTGTTGCATACCAATTTGTATCCAGCCAATCGGAAAACGTACTGCTTGTTATTGAAAGAATAGAATCGGAGGGCAACTGGGATGTGTTGACCATTGCAAGGCAATCTCCATTGATGCTCCAAACTGCAAGCAGAATTCCAGCTGCTGTCACAATCTCCCCAGTCAAGTCATTAACATAAATCGCTGAAACTGCAGTTGGGAACTTGGGAAGCTGCCTGACAAAAACCAGGGAGCTCAGATCCCATATAATGACGGTACAATCCTCCGATCCGCTTGCAATAAGCATGTATGGTTGACTAACATAAAGGCATGTGATTTTCGCGGTGTGAGCAGAAAGAGCCTTCTCCAACTGCAATCGTCTAACAAGACGGGGTGCAAGTTTAGTAATTCTCCAAACCCAAACCAGTCCATCATCAGCCCCTGTTACCACAACACAGCCATCATGAGTAACACCAGCACACTGAATTTGGTTACCCTCATGAAGATTTTCATGAGTAGATAGGAGTCTGTCTTGATCATAGCTCAGAAATCTCAAGCTTCGGTCTGGGAATCCCCATGCAACATACTTGGTATATGATCTTGGTTTAAGCAAGGTGTTAGCCCCTGCCACAAGAATTTTCTCATTGAAAGAGACAATCTGGGTTATAGAAGACAAGCTCTTACGTATCTCATGCGGGACAAGAAAATTAGAATGCTTGAGTGGATGAGGGAATTTTCTGTCAACCCGCCTCTTCACATGGGCCTTGAGGAAAAGTTGTTTCGGTGTCTGGCCAAAGTGATTAATCTGTGCTAAAATTGAGGCTTTCATTGCGGGATCAGTCACTGAATCTATATCCACGCTCCCTTCATATGTGTAATGGTAGAAAACATTAGTAGCTTCCTCTGCTCCCTGTCAGGTGCAAAATATCTAGGAGTTAGAAATTTCCTTATAAGAAAAGATTATGCCACTTACAACAGGTGAAAATGATGTTTAACATATGGTTAGCAGTCAGGGCGTGGAAATAAAGTGTCTGCTCCACTGCTAGTGTTTTAACACAGTTAGACCTTCAAGACTGTTGAATTGCTATGGGCAATTGCGTTAGTTCAATGAACTTTTCATAAGAAAAACTAAACAGCATAAATTGAAGAACAAAGGCTCTTAACTTCAAAACCCACCTTCCCTCTCTGTTTGTATCCAAAGATGAGGTCTATCCAATGATGCAAATTTTCTGAAACAAAGTCAGATTCCAGCGCTTCTCTATGTTTCCTGATGAACTCCCTAGCACTGCCCTTGGCCCATGGAGGTAAGACAACGTCACCAACCTGGTACAAAAACCACTTCAAATGATTAACATTAGTTTGTGAAATAGTTTTTTGACTCAGCAGTTGGAGCATGGTTTTGGCTAAATTTTGTGTTTCCATTATCTCTTTAAGTATTTCGAAATAACAATTTATGCTCCGACTCCTTCCCCATGACACACACCCAACCCCAGTCCACTAATAGATCTAAATATATCAGCAACTTGTAAGGGAATGGTACTGAATTAGTCATAAAAAATATTAGATATGAAGAATAGTAAAAAATTGTAGAAACCTTTTCTCCAGATTGTTTCTCTCCCAAGTCAAGATTGAACTTATTTTCAAGGAACTCTGGCATGTAAAAGAATTCTGGAATGAGCTCCTTCACGTCTGACGTGTTCCCCTTTCCAGCTGCACTTAACCAAGTATCTCTAATGCTATTGAAAAGACGATCAGCATGGTCAAACTGCCCACCTTGAAGCTTCTGATTCTCTGCACTAAATGGTGGGAGCCGCAGCAGATAGAAGAGGACAATTCCAGCACTAGAATAATGAGAACCATAGTGAAATTTTGGAACCTCTGGATCATCCCAACTCTCATATCTGAAGAAGGTAAAAGATTTAACATCAAAACCTGATACAAAAACGCATTTATGCAGTAGCATCATGTGAACATACACCTGATTACACTGAATAAAACAATAAAAAATTATCTTCAAAGTAGATTAAAAAAACAAAAAATGAGATGTTGACACTGTAGCTATAAGAGGGACGACCTTTTCTTAAATTCCTCTTCTCCCTCGGGCGTCTGACAACCCATTGGTTTAGCAAGCATTCGAAATGATTTTGGATCTGTCAAGTCTAGGTTTTCACTTTCATAATCAGCAAGGACCCAAGGGAACACCGGGTACTGGGTAAGGTCACTGTACCCTCGTCCTGCCAAGGTATTAAGATGCATGAGGTACTGAAAATTGCTTATTTCTCCATTTTGCCACCTTTTTGAAAAAGATTTGGCCATTATCTTAAAAAGACGACTGCCCTCACTGCTCTCTTGTTTGGTTGTTCCAGAGATTGTAGTGTCCAGCCTGAGAGAAGGAGATATTTGTGTCAGTAAAGTTTTGAATAGAGGAAAATTTGGACAAGACAGAAATTATAGAAGTGAATGCTTTAGAGAAAATACGCAAGAAGTATTTGATAGTATATTCCATACATGCTGTTTCTGGGAAGATTCATGGCAAGAAGATTTTTGAAGACTTCTTCTCTCTCCTTTTTATGGAACACCAGGAGGTCATTGCATCCATCCATACTGAATATTTCAACAGCAACTGGTCGGAGCTGATAATCTCGCTTCAAAATTTCATGAACACTGTCAAGCTTCCACATACGCCAAGGATGAGGTAGATTACCACTGCTGCCAACTTTCTCCTTTCCCCACGCGCCACCACTATATGCCCACGCTCTTCCCCCAGACCATGACTTAGCTGTAACTCCCCAAGATGAAGTTGACTTGGACTGGAAATCCATACTGCCCAAACAATCCTTCTTTACACCCAAAGCCTGATCAATAACTGACAGTTCATCTTCACATTCTTTTTCACAAATGCATCCAGAGTCATCAATGTAGAAATTCTCAATCACATACAGACAAAGTTCACCAATCAGAAAGATTCCATCATGTTTGTCAAGGCCAACGACACGCTCACAATTATAGCGGAATCGTATCTTTTCAAAAGGCTCCAAATACGGTCTTATAAGGTATTCACCATCATCATGTAGTTCTTTATCATATTTATCATCACTAACTTTTACCTCATCAATTCTAGCAGACGACGATTGTCTAGGGGATCCCAGGTCAGATCTTCCTTGTATGCTATCTGCTACTGGAATAGAAACAGCACTAGACTTGGCACCAAACTCAAGTGCAGAGTGAAGACTTGCATCATTTATACTACTAGCTCTATCATCATTCCATCCATTTTTAACAGATGTTTCATCCCTGACATCATCTGATTCATTAAACATAGGTTCATCATAAATATCACTATCTGAATCATTCTGTTTGGCATTATTATCAGTTAAAAGATGAAAATAGGATTCTGAATCACCATCAGACGCATCAAGGCCATTTCCTCCTTTTATCAGCTCTGCTTCTTTTAGTTCAAACTTTCCATCAAGAGCATTTTGAATGGTATCTATCTTCAATTTGCTACGCTCTAGTTTCTTGCGCATTCTATATGGACCCTCTATGGGACAAAGCTGCCATTCAGGATCTTCTGTCACAGAAGATATGGTCATAGGAAATATACTACGTTCATGAACAAGTTCCTGGAGATGACTTTTCCATTCACTCTCAGCATGGAGAACCCATCCATATTTATCCTGACGAAGTACTCTTAACTCGGTAGACATTGAGTCACGAAGTAAATCCAGAGCATACCTCCGCTCATTCACTTGCTCCCAGTGTCTCACATCCAACTTTGAAGTATCTCGAGATCTTCTCCCAATCTCCTTCTTACGACGACCCTCCATTGCCTTTATCCTCACTCCAGGAAACTTTCCAGATCCAGTAATATACTGCACCCACATTATGACCGCGCACTGCTCCAATACTTTATTTACACTCTGTTCAGAAGTCTGAAGCCAATCAAAGAAATCAGATAAGCTTCCAGTCAGCAATTTGTCAAAACCTCCACGTAAGACATCTTGGTTTGGTTTAGAGACAAGCAAATCCTCTAAGGCATGCCTTCGATGCACCAGGAGATACTTGACAATATCAACCGCCATGTTCTGTACATATTGCCTGGAGTCACGAAGAAGAGTTATTAAATTGACACAAAGACAGCAATTGAGATCGGTATCAACATTGCTTGGACAGAAGATAATTCTTCTGTGAGCAACTAATAGCTGTAAGACTGTGCTGATATCAATTCCAGAATCACCATGATATGAACCCGTGTATGATCTTTTCTTGGGTTCCATTAGCAAACCCAAGCATGAAAGGAGACCATCTTCTCCAATTGAGATCAAGAATGATGGGAGGAAGCAGTACAATATCATTCTACTGGTATTCTTTAAAATTGAATGTACGTAAGCATCAAGCTGCTTGGTTCCTCTTGCAATAGATAAAAGTCCCTTTCCAGAAGGAGATACTTCTATTCGACCATCCTTGTTTGACAGTTGCAACATAGAGAGCAAGAATTCGAGAGTTTTTAACACACCAGCAGGTTGCGGAAAGGCACCCATATATACACGATCAACAATCATCCAGCAAAAAGCATCTAAATTTGCAGACCAGCGAGTTTTGTCCAGTTTCTTTTCATCTTCTTCGTCATCCCGCAGAAGGCGCCTTTCAACGAAGTTCATTAGTCTACTAAGACACAAACCTTGGAAGACTAACATAGATTCCATATCAACATACAAAGGAACATTTTCCAAGATGCTCTCTATGACTGGTGTTGCCTTTATCTGCTCAGTCAAAATATCTGAAAGAACTTCACCCACAAAATCTAAGACAGCCGTACCACCAGCAGAACAAGGACCACCTCCATAGCCAGAATCATCCATTTCAAGAAGTAGCTTTGGGCTAACCGAAAAGAAAGTATTTGCAGCTGATGGTCCTTGAGACGCAGATTTTGAATCTGATGACGGATCAAATTCTACAGCAGACGCAAAAGATTCCACAGACGGCGGAGCAGCTGAAGTATATTTTAATTCGTTATTGCTTGCACTCCCAAGCCAAGATGTCAATGCAAGAACTGGAGATGATGAGGGAGTGTGGGGGACTCGATAACTCGATTTCTCTGATAGGATGGGAGAATCAATAAAATTTAGAGAAGCAGTGCTATGAGAATCAATTGGTTGCAAGGGTTCTAGATTGCTTTTTCTTGCCCTGAAGCTAAACTCATTTGTACTGGATGTGACAGACTCCTGGTCAATATTATCACCTTCAAAGCTCTCAACGGCCTGAAAATCATGCCCTGATTTGCTTGACAGTCGGGGGGATGGAACAGTATTGTTCTCCTCTTTATGACTTGACTCATTTTGAGGCACAGCAGTGTCATCAGAGCTAGTACTTGCCTGCCCTTGAGGGAAACTTCCAACACTAATGGATGTTTTCACAGACAAATCCTGTTCCTGTGGTATACTAGTGAACGTGTTCTGTGAGCTACTACCATCATCACAATCATTTGAGTTCTTTTCCTCAGTCTTTACCGATAGCTCTTTAGCCATCTTCACAGCATAAGCAGCTCTGTAGGATAGTTAATTTGCAAAAAGAAAAGGATAGAATAAGGAAAATCTCAGTTAGTGGACATATAATTCAATGAGATTGTGCATGAAATTGTTTTTAACAAAAGTGAAGTATATGCAATAGAGAATGGTATTAAAAGACAAACCTAACACAAGAAAAGTAGAGGTCGACACAGCTTTCAAGAAAATCTGTCCGTCTGCAAACTGCAGAAAAAGGATGGCACATTTTTGCAAGATCAACCATAAACCTAAGAACAGAGGTAGCAGCAGCAGGGGCCGATGCCTCCCCACCCATTAGACGAGCAGCATAGGTCTTATGCATCAGAGCTTCACCTTGAAGCTCTCCTGCCATGTCTGCATTCCCTTCAGCAAGTTCAGCCACAAGACCAGCACTAGCCTGGGAAAGATTACCAGTTTGGTGGGCAAGCATTGTCTGAACACTGAGCCTATCAAATGTGGACTTTGCCATTGCAATTACAGGTTCCAGAAGTTCCACAAATTTCAGTTCCACAAAACTTCCATCACTTGGCATAAGGGCATGAAAGTCTAGCATTCGGACTTCAGGTAGTCTAGGATAAACTGGCTTTCCAAATATAAGGCAGAAAAGGATATAATATATATCAGGGGAATCATAGAAACTGGGAAGAACACGCACCAAACCTTGATAACCTCCACTTGTACGGAATTTAAGTGCAAATGTTGGTGAAGAAGTAAGACATACCCCAAGAAGTGTCATAATCCATCTCATACTTGAAGGATGAACAGCTTCATCGAGAAAATATGTTATCAACTTAGATGAAACAATCTTATGCCATTGCTCTAGCAGCTCCTCTGATTTTATGGTCACTTGAAGATCAATAAGCATCTCCAGCAACATATTTCTTACAATCACATGCTTCCCCATAGACTCCCGCAAAATTGGACGCCTTGGTGTCAGTTGAGGTGGATCAAATGTCATGATCACAAACTTCACTACAATTTCCAATTCAGATACCAAAAACCCATCTTCTAAAATGACTCCAAGCAAGACAACTAATTTCTCCAACACAGGAACCTCAACGTCACCCCGCTGCAAAGTCACTAATAAATGCTGAACAAGGTTAATTCGGCGAAGAACCGTAAGGTTATGATTCCTGTACCAGTGCATAGAGACTAGATGCTCAAGGAAACCCAGAAGGGCAATTTGAATTGCAACCGGTGCTGTTACCCACAATGTCCAGTCAAGCAACACATGCTCCACCATATCTGGATTTGACAATACAACGCAATTTGAAGTTTCACCTGGTATTTCAGGATTTTCTAGCTCTGAAATATGGCTAAATGAATCTTTCTGAGCAGAAAAATCATCCATGTCACCATGTGATCCAACAGAGAAAACTTCATCACGCAATTTTGATAAATTAAGCTCCTCATAACTGCTCTCCTGAAAAGTATTAATTGGTGAGAAAGTAGTTTGAATATTTTCCAACCTTTTGGGCTCTGCAAACGAAGCTTCACATGCTGCAATCTGGAAAAAGGTTTCGAGTGACTGCATATCAAATAGTGACATACGCCGATGCAGAAAGAGAGCTAGTAAATGATAACCCCTGTAGGTTTGCATGTCCCTCACATTCTGTGGATTTTGATGAAGTGCACATGCAAGTAATGTAAGGGCCATGTGCAACATATCCCTCGTCTCAGAAGCTTCGACAAGGGCAAGGATAACAGTCATCCCACCAACAGGGCGTATGGTGTCACCAATTACACATTGCTTACAAACATAAACATCTCCGTGAAGACGTCCAAAACGGGGAATACCTGAAGAAAACATGCCCAAAAAAATTTAAAATAAATAATTAATATTGCAATGATGTTATTACCTTCATCAATACAAAACCGAATTACTCTCAGTACAAGCCACAGCTAAATTTAAACTTAAATGTAAAGCTTAAGTTCATGAATTTGGTTTCTTACCCACGGCAATGATGTTACATCTTCATCAATACAAAACCCAATTGCTTTCAAACAAGTCATAGCTAAATTTAAACTTAAATATAAAACCTAAAACCTAGTTTGTCAACTTAGTTTCTTACCCCCAATAGGAGAAGCAGCGGCTGACATGGGATCTACTAGATTGAGCATAGATAAAACTCCCGATGCTCGCATGGCTTCTGTAGATGTTCCATCAAATGCAAATATCAGTTTCTTGCCTGAGAGCTGCAAGGAAAGATTTCCTAGTCTTTCCATATCCCAAACTATCCCACTACCATCTGCCCTTGTGTCTACCAACTTGCTTGCGACCTCATGCTTCTGCATATTGTGGGTCAAAGCCAAGTCAGCATCTAATGAATCTAAAATAGCCATGCTACCACCACCACAGGCCTGGTTTGGAACAAAATGCAAAAGATCTGTGTCTTGGAAAATTCCTCGATATCCTCTACCGAGTATGTACATGAAACATATGCAGCCTGGAGTAAGCACCTCTTCAAAAAGATAGCAGGAACGGAGCTTCCAATTTATGTCACTAACTTTTGCACATGCAACTGGGGTACCAATATTCACCTGCAAAGGTTTTCCGGCAGGAGATGGTGCATAACCCAGTTTCCCAGTGTGTTTTAGCTTTCCATTAAGATACACATAAGCAATGCTAGCTTGAAATAGTCCAGCTAGAGCATTTGGTTTGCTGTGAACAACTGCAAGGTGATGCCATCTGTCTTCCTCAAGATCAATGCCAGAAAATGATAAGGAGGAAGAGTTGCTAGTGGCAAGGGTTAGAACACCATCCTCCTGCAGATAAAGTTCGGCATAAAAAGTATTATCATTGCTTGCTGCACCAACAGAAAATATACGGAGAATTTGCTGCTCCTGGGGCTGAGCATTTTTGGCCGTCGACCTCTTTGAAGGGCCTACTTTTGAGGGTTCAAATTCCTTTCCTTGGGATTTAAGGAAATTGTGGAATTGAAACCAGCAAACAAAAGAATAACCAGCAGCTGGAGGCCATGATCTTTCTCCAAGAGATACTTGAATAGAGGCATGCCCAATCTTACTCATGTCCATCTCTATAAATGGTGCCAAAGAAATACTATCTGATGCCATATCTTCCATATGAACCAATCTTTCCATCATGTCAATAAGAATATGACCTGACTTCAACAATCTCATTTGGAGAACAAATCTAATTATCATTCGAAGTTCTGATGCAGATAACCTGTCAAGAGAAATACAAAAGTTACTCCAACAATAGGGAAGTGAAAAAATACTAAACTGAATTAGTCGTATGGTACAGATTACAGAAAAGTAATGTGACGTAATTTTCTACCTATATGCCCCAAGAACTTCCACTATCTTCAGAGTATATGCAAGTAATGGAGATGATCCCAATAGGAAAGGCCGAATTGTCTCCAATAGAAGTTCCACACAACCTTAACATTAAAAATAAAAAATAAATTAAAAAAAAAAAGGAGAAGAAGGTAAGACTTGAAGAACATGAACTAGGTCTGATCAATTTATAAGGGTTGTATGATTAATGCACACCTACTGATGTGAGATTTTCCTGATTAAAGGAGCCAGCACGAGCAAGCTTTTCAATGATGTCAAGAACTTCCAACTGTACCTTGGGAGTAAATAGCAACAGCAAACGGATAAGAACCCTTATAGCTCCAGCATTGTATACGCGTTCTTTATTAAGATGAAATGAACCTGATGGAGTTGTTAAGTGAAAACTGGATGAAGTGTTTTCCACAAAACTTGACGATGGAGCATCTTCTAATTTCAAGTATGGTGGTAGAACTATCTCAAGAGAAAGTTCCAATAGTAACTGTATGACTTGCCTTTCAAACTCCACACATATCAGGCCAGACTCAGACAGAAGATCATTAAATGTTTGAGACAAAATAACCGTGTGCAGTTTTACCCTGTTCACAGCATTATCACATACTCCAGCTGTCACAACACGCAGTAAGTACATAAATACCTTGATGCGATCCTCAATTGAACACTGATATGAGTCCCCTCCACTTTGGAAACTATGAAGTGTAGTAAGCAAAAGAGAAAACCCTGTCACTTCACCAAAGATCCTTTGTGCAGAATTATTGACTCCCAGAATACGCCACAAGGTTCCCATTGTTTCACATTTAGCCTCATTCTGAAGCCTATACTGAGACCCTGAAACACTGGTGACCATTCCACTTTTCAAAATTTCAACAATGGTACTTAATTCTTCAGGATGAGCCTGGTAGGAAGAGGGAAAAAAAGGTCAAATTTTGTATTATTGAAACACTCATTTTGATGATATTGATTAATTTTATATATTTTTTAACATGCAAAAGCATGCAAATGAGATGTTTGATCCAAATGCCCGCTCATTGCAAAACCTATTTAAGAAGATAGTACCTGTGCAGTATCCTCAATGATCAAACATGACAGCAACCTGAGAACTCCTTGACGATGTACATTAGATACTAGAAATGGAAGGACGATGGCCACACCATTAGATGATCGAAATGATGTTTGACTGGCTTCAGCTTTCTTCAGTAAAGAGACCATACAATCCCATGCAACAGTAGTAGTATTCTCCACTTCAAAAATTGGAAACTTCCCCGAGCCAGACTCCATCTTGGGTGAAGAAAGAATTGTGTCCTTATTATCAAAATGCTTTTTGAAGCTGCTGGTGCTGGATTTTCTTTCTAGCTGGTGAAAGTTACCAACGTGCTGATCAGGACCCTGAAGAAACTTGTGCTGCTTCAAATCATCCAACAAAACCTCCAGCACACCAACTTCTCGCAGGACTTTCTTATAATGATGGTCAAATGACAATAATTTTACAAAAAAGGAAAGTATGGTATGCTTTAATTCCGACATTATTGGCTGCTGCAACAAACAACACAGTGAAAGCAATTCCTGCTCGGGTACACAATTTACAACAGTTACAGCATATTCAAGAATTTTCAAGATTATCTCTTGCAAAGATGAAGGAAAACCAGCCATGTTTAGGATGAGAAGTGGAACAGTTCGTAACTGCTGGCACAACTTGTAATTTTCTAAATGACTTGAGAATATTTTGAACATTCTATTTAATACTTCTGCCTGCAATTCTCTGTTGTCTGCCTTCAGGAAAATATCTTGCAACATTTGGACAGCTTCTAGATCTTTGACTTTATTATTGCCTTCCTCCCAAAGATCATCAGCAAGCCGATCAGACGAGGATGTTCTGCTTCTGCTATGGCCAGTGTTCTTGGAATGAGTAGATTTAGATCTTCTCCCTGTAGATAAACCCTCAGATTCCTGTGGACCAGTTTGGGCAAGACTTACAAGAACATCAAGCAACCTTGACAATGTAGGGAAAAGTTGCAGGGAAGGGACATCTTGTTCCATATAATCTGGTTTTTCTCTATCATTTATTTCAAAGGAGACATCTGCGGCTTGAATGTGATCTTGTGGTGGACTAGATTTTATAGACTGAAAAGCTTGACTCCTTGGCAATGTAGAAAGAGTCAGTGCAAACTGGACAAGGAAGTGATAACCATGAGCATTGTGTATATCCTCCCTGAGACTTATACCATTGGCCTCTACAAATTAAAATTGAAACAAAAGCAGCAGTTAAAAACTATGCACTAATCCTAATAATTAGAATTACCAAATGTCTAGAAATGTTGCTTTGCGAGAGAAATTTTTCGGATATTAATATCGCATATGCATTAAACCTCTCGGGATAGCTTTTAAATTGCCGGAGTTAATGGTCAAAAGGCAAGTTACTTACCAGGCCTATAAGACAATTTCACACACTCAAGTAGCAAGTCCACTATCCCCATGGTATAAGCAGAGTCGCCACAGTTAGGATCATAATCCTTCACTGCCATTAAAAGAATTTTTATCTGCACATTGAATCAGCATAATGGAAGTCACATGAATCTGATAAACAAGAAAATTTAAGCATGTGAAATGAAAGAAATAAGAGAAAAATAAAAGCCCAAAGAAACAATTGTAAAACGGCACCAGTTTTTCTTGGAGAATATTATTTTAGCACTGATTCGGGTTTGCTGGTTTAATAAATACATTACAATTACATATAATTTATATGGATGATTTTATATTTATACTATTTACTAATTTAAATAAATCATTTTTTAATTAATAATTTAATATAAAAGGTCAACAAATATATATTAATCATTTAAAAATTGGGGATCCAAGATTAGGGCATGGACAGGGTGGGGAATGCATTCCCAATCCCTTGAAAAAGAATCAAGAGAAAAAAATGTATGCGCCCTTGACCCTGTTTTAAATGTGAGACGAGGATTCCCAATCCCCATTTAGAATGGGGGCTTGCAGGAAATTTTGCATCTCTAAATTTACTCTCATCCTTTAAATGAAGTGGGTTTCTCATTTATATAAATATAAGAAAATACATAATAAAATTGAGATATCTAGCAAGGACAGGCTGTCTTCCCACCTAAACATCATGCCAACGGGAATCATTCTCGCCAATACCATTTTTTAAAGAAGAAAACCTAGAGGAAAGGTCTTTTTCTCCAAGATACATGGGCTTCTTGAACAGCCTCGATTTTTTAGAATTAGATAACCAACCAAAATCTATTAGCTCAAAAATGTTATCCTACATTTCGTAACACTTTTTTCACTTTGCCCTCTTTTTTCTTTTTTTTATAACTGGGAGTCAGAGCTTTGCTCCCCTATACCCAGGGGCGCCCGCGCCTGTCCCAAGGCTCAGACCTGAGAAATATCAGGATTTTTGGTATTAAGCTCACTAGAAAGTTTGAACTTAAAACCTCTAAGCCAGTATGACCGAGAGAATCCAAGCTTTTGCCAACTGGACTGTCCCTTGGGAGCTTCTTCACTTTGTCCACTTGGAAATCCCCCAGAGCATTTTGCCAACAATTCGGCCTTCTTTCTTATCCTACCCATGGCCAAGCCACCACTAGACAAGGGTTTAAACCTTGCTCCACTCAACTAATTGTCTCAATCTCTTATCTTCAATGTCACTACCAAGCAAAAATTGGATTTGGATACCTAACTTTGGTGGGTTTAGGAAGCCCGCTTCATAAACCCATACCCACAGGGTTGAATAGTATACGGGTTACACTTTCCTTTTTTTTTAAGGAAACTATCTCCCACTCGCTTCCTCCACATGTCACCTATAATATTTTATTTAAACTAAATCTTCTTATAACAAATTACAATCGTATCTCTTATTTAAAATAATATATCTCATATTTTTTTCTTTTTGAACAAGAAACAAACTTTTCATTAAATATATGAAAAGGAAGAAAAATGTTTAAGTATACAAACTTCCCAAAGGAAGCGAAGAGAAAAGAAAAAAGTAACACCAACTAACAAAGTAGCTAAAACCACCAACTACAAACTAACAAACAACACCAAAAAGACAAAAGCCAAAGGAAAAACGAAAAACTGAAAAACAGAGGCCTGATAAGCTTCAACTACAAAGTATGCAAAAACGAAGAAGAAGAAGCATGCAATCGCCAAGCCGCAGAATAAGAAGCTGAAGAGAACAAAACCAAGAGCAACGAGCAAGAATCTCTAAAAGATTAAGTAAAAAACTTGGCATAAGCCTCCACCTTCAAGCCAACAGAAATAATAAACACCAAAGGCCAAGCCTCTCATAAACCAATACCAATGAAGCTTGAGGACCAATGCATCAAACAAACTTCTCTCCGAAACAAGCTCAAACAAAGCTCAAATCATCCACTCTTGAATATCACAAGGAGCTCTTCGAAAATATCTCCCAGCAAGGGCCATGGAATAGTTATGCGATTCTAATGAGAGTTATTAAAAAGGTATCCGAAAACTAGAACTTAAGATCAAGAAATCGAACCGCACCTCTACCAGAACATAAGATCTTCAAAGATTTGGTAAGATTGGAACTAAAGTGATTCCAACAGCTTCAAAGTAAGACATAACCCCTTGATCTTAAGAGCTCAAAGTTTCCTCTTTGTCAATCAAACCATCTTCTTTGCCAGACATTTTATTTTTTAAGTCGCAAAGAGAAACCTTTAAATAGAGAGACGATCTTCCTTAGAGAGAGAATTAAAATCCTCCGCAAAAGAAAATACGTTAAAATCCTCTTGAATATAGTCCTGATTTTCTGAAAAAGATGGGGAATCTTGACTACTTAATACTTATGCTGAGATTTAAATCCTCCTCATCATCCGAATTGGTAGAATCCACGAATCTTTTCTTAGTCACATCATTGGTTGAGTTAATAATTCCGAGAATAAGGGGTGGCTGGATTTGAAGTGACTCCTTTGCAGAAATCAAAAGCTTACCATCCGAAGGAGCCGCAAATTGCGTGAGACTGTTGTCATTCCGAAGCCTTTGTCTTTCTTCATTAAAGACATTTTCCAAATTGGTTTTAAGGGGTGACTGGATTTAAAGGGACACCTTTGCAGAATTCAAAAACTTATCAACAGAAGGAAACGCATTTGGTGTTAGACTTTTCCCATTCTGATGACTTTCTCTTTCTTCATTAAATACATTTTCCAAATTGGTTGTAAATATGCCAAATGTCTTTGAAAATTCAAGATCAATATGAAATTTCAAAGAATGTTTCTTTCTTGAATAAGAGAATGGTAGAGTAGGAATGAAGTTTCTACACGGCAATTTATCCCGACCAAAAATAAAGCTACATTCCCATTGAGGCTCAGGGCTACAGTTTGCTGTCACAATAACTCCTGAAGCGACCGTTGGTTCTTCCAAGAACTTACCCATAATCACGTCTTCTCCCCTACTTTCTTTCTCGATAAAAAAGGCCTCTTGCCCAAACAAAGACTCTTCATCTGCTAAAACACTTTGGTATCTTCAATTATCCAACGGATTTGAAGAGTCTGTGATCAAGTATGAACACATATCCAAGTCGCTTACAACTTTATTTGAATCAAACACACGAACTAAGAAGGAACTTAAAGGAGAAGTAATCTCGATCAAGGCGGGTAAAAAACCACAAAAATTATCTCCTACTTTAATCCAAGCTTCTGAGCAATCCAATAAATCAAGGGTTTTTTACGCGATACTCTTCAGACCTCCAAGATGAGTTTCAATGGCCTTGAAACACTACTTATAGCACCATTCCTCAATTTTCACATGAGAAGCTCCCAACTTACGCCACTTCCCATTGACAAAGCCTTTCTTCAACGTTCGACCATCCTCAAACCTTAGCATGCCATAAAAGGGTTAATTTGACAACTCTACGAAAATTGATTTTTTAAGTCGATTGTGATTTTTTTCCAATCGTCATGAGCGCAAAACCTTGTGATAGCCATAAGGTTATCCCAATCCAACTTTTTTTCCATTTTTTGAACCAGAAACAAACTTCTCAATGAACTAATGAAAAGGAACATAAATGTTCAACGATGCAAACTCTCAAAAGAATGAAAGATAACTATCCCAATCCAACTTTAAAACTTCATATTCTTTCCTAATTCAGAAAGTCGTTAGAATTGCCTTGGCAAATTCTACTGACTCCCTTAAAGATCCCAACTCCCCAATCTTCAACAGACTCATCTAGTGAATGCAACTTTGAGGAAGCCTTAACTAACAAGTAGTCACTTATCATTTCACAAAAAAAGAAATGACCAAGCAATTTTATTGAAACCAGCAAGCACAGAAATATATTTTCTTCCACCCGAAGAGGACCTACCAACTAATTCCAGTAGCCAACCAAGCAAAGAGTGTTTCTTCTGAATACGACAAGCCCCATGTTCATCTTTGACTTGCTTGAAGAACCTAAAATGAATGGGAGTGTGCAAACAATCCACCAAAAGCGTTCTCAAACCATGGAGTTGGGACTTGTGAAGAAGAAGATGAACATTGTTAGAATCTTTAACAAAACAAATGTCGTTTTCACTCCAATTCGTTCCCAATACAGCAACTTTTAGAGTACATACCGTCTAAAACTTGGATAAAAAACCAACTTTGAAACCGAAAGAAACTCCAAGGAATCTTAAAACTTGAACAAGCTTCAGACTCGAACAAACTACGGGAATGAAGGCCTATGCGAGGAGGAAAGAGAAGAGAGAGAAGAAAGCATACTAACCTTATGGAAAATATATAATTACGAAAGAAGTTCTGTTTGTTCTTCGAAGAATACTAAAATAATATATCTCATATTTATATATACAGTACTTAACTTTAAGTTATCATGTTAAATTTTAAAAGTTATTTGATTTTTAAATTAGTCATATCTAAACTAATAAAAGCATATGGTATTTTATTTTTGACTTATTAAAATAAAAATAGTAAAACAAATAATATGTAATTTTAAATTAGTCAAATTAAAGAAAGGTTTTTTTTTTTTTGATGACTAGGAGCCAGAACTTTGCTCCCTTATCCCAAGGGCACCTGCGCCCGTCCCAAGAATTAAAGAAAGTATTTGATTTTCAAGTTAGATATATTAAGTAACAAAAGTATATGTATAGTGCAATTCATTTTGAACTTAGTCATATTAAAATAGCTTATATATATATATATATATATGGTATTTTATTTTTAACTAAGTTATTTTTAAATGCCCTAGAGAATGTATTTGTATTTTGTTTTTAAGTTAGAAATAAAATAACAAAAGTGTAAGAAACAATTTTAATTTTGAACATAGTTATATTTCAAGATATTTTATTTTTGACTTAAACATATTAAAATAACAAAGTAAATAATTAAAAGGATAAAGTTGAAGAAATCTAGAATCCGGAATTTGATTTAATGCAATTAAATATGGACATAAATCCAGTCTTTGAGAGTGGATGGAAACACGTTTCATTTTAAAAAATTAATATATTTGGAAACAACAAATACTCAAATAAAAACTCACAGTATAATTTACACTATACTTTATATTCTTGGGTTTCCAAAGTAAATAATTAAAATTGAGAAACTTAAGTAAATTTGCCTCCCAAAAAATTACTTAATGCACAGATTTTTTAAACTCACACCTCCTAAACCTGCATCGCAAACAAAATTTTCCTAATTTCAGCTCTGCTAAACCTATACCTCAAACATAGCTTTCCGAGACCCTATGCTTCTTAAACCCACGAATTAAACTCCCCATGCTACCTAAACCTAGGTTTACGAAGCCAACCCAGTGCCCCAATGCTTCCCTAGCTTTTTCTCAATTTCATTTGCCACTTTTCTTGAAGTTATACTCCCGTGCCAATTTTTAGAATCAGATACAACGCTCAAGAAAATGGTTGGATTTTAAATCTTACAAACATGTGCAAGAGATAATGGGGAAGACTAGAGATAGAAAGGAAGATGTACAAATTTCAATAACTTTAAGTACTGTTATTCAAGAATCAACACATTTATATATCATCGGAAAATACTTACCAAGTGATGTTTGTGTATATATTTGGCAGTGCTTCCACTGTCATTGACCAGAAGAAGATCAAGTACCTGAAGTTCATCAGAAGAAGAAAAATTACATCTGAATATGAAGTTCTATCTAAATGATGAGAAAGATGCATGTAAGAAGATAAACTCCCGCCAAAAAAAATCCATAGCCAATATATTCCGTAATGATTAACATTACCAGCATAAAAAGCACAAGTAATATTCTATTAGCTTTTACCTGCATAGCATGTCTATGAAGTTGTATATTGTGCAATGGAACAAGACCTTCCTTATACTGAGAGAAGACTGTCAAGGACCCATTTGCAACCATCTGAAAAAGCATCTGAAGGGAATCATCCTCAATCAAACTCTGGGCAGCTGAAGGATGGCTGGCCAGAGCCTTCATGATATGAATAACACTGCCCTCGATCTACATGAGAAACATGAAAATAGGTAAGGTTATTGATACCGAAAATCAAAATCAAGCAAGAAACAAATAAATATAAAATTTATAGAGGAACCTAAAGGGCATGGTTATTGACTCAACCACATCTCCAATTATCTTGTAAGTTGTTGTGATGATAAAGTACTAATTGTGTACCATCTAAGATGGATTGAATTGAACACTAATCACATGCAAGTGGATTTATTCGTATAAGAGGATGTCAAGGCAACCAAAAGCGGAACACTCCTGTAAGTTAAAAACGATGAAAATTTTACCAATATGAAGGATAATTTCATATCTGAAATCTTTTTAGTAATTCCTATGGGTTGGCAGATACCTATCTACCTTTTTGTACTGTCTCTTTTCTGAGTAATGAATAGTATTTGTTTCTCATAAATAAAAAAAAATACACAAAGAAAATTTTCTAACGACAAAGAGAGGAATATAGTTTGATCGTTCTCTTTCTATTCATTTTGGAATACATCTTTGATCGTTCTCTTTCTTGTACAGTTTCTTGAAAAAAAACCCACAATTTCTTCCTCAATGTCTATCATTGACTAGGCTCCCCTCATTTTCTGATGAAATCTCATAAATGAAGAATTTTCTTCTTTTTGTTACTAAGATTCTGTTGAAAAGGGCAGAATTTTATCATCTTCTCTTAGCCATTGAAATCCTGATTTTTTAATCAAAATTATTGACTCCAATCTATGCCTTTTCCCTTCTTAAGGCACCGGCAAAGGTGATAAAGGAGATGGAAAAGCTGGTTCGTTCCTTTTTTTGGAGTGGGGAGGTACACACCCTCAAAGGCAATTAGTTAATTGGCCAACCTCTTCCCTGCCCAAGGCGCTTGGAGGGCTCGGTTTAGGCAACCTAAAACAGAGGAACGAAGCTCTTCTCCACAAATGGTTACGGCGATTCTAAAATAAGCAGACGGCTTTGTGGAAAAGAGTTGTGGCCAGCTTTTATAGTGAAGATCCTTTGGGATGGACAGCTCTTCCTCCAAAAGGGAGAGCCTTCAGTAGACATTGGTTTGATATTGCAAAGATGGGGACTTACTTTTCGAGATTTGTTCAGTTCAAAGCAGGAAATGGTTAGAGAATTCGTTCCTGAAAGGATATTTGGTTGGCAGACTCTTCTTGACCCTCTCTTCCCTGATTTATACAGCATCTCTCTTAAGAAAGATGCTACGGTGGCTAATTGCTGGGTGGACGAGCACTTTAACAGGAATCTGAGATTCATAAGAGATTTTCAGGATAGTGAAATGGGTAGTCTACTTTCTCTAAAGAATTTATTGAGTTCTACTAGACTGGCCAGTGGGGGTGACAAAATTTTGTGGTCCATTGATAGTAAGCTGTCTTTCTCTACTAGTTCTATGTTCAACAAGTTAGTGGTGTGCAACCTAAAGTTAAACGCCCCCTTGATCAAGGTGATTTGGAAGTTCAATTCCCCAAAAAAAGTTAAGGTATTTTTGTGGAGATTGGCCTATAAAAGTCTTAACACTCATGAAACCCTACAAAAAAAGCTCTCAGGTTGGTGTCTCCCTGACTGTATGTTGCCTCTGCTACAAGTATTCTGATTCTATAGACCCCACATTTTCCTTCACTGCTATACGGTTTCAGAAATGTGGTATTTTCTTTCCTGCTGTTTGCCAAAGAAGGTGGATGACTGGCTCGTTGAAGCTCTTCAATGTACTTTCATCAAAGGAAAAGCTTATGTTCTTTAGGGCTGTACACCTAGAACCATTTTGTGGTGTCTTTGGAAAGAGAGAAACGGTCGGGTATTTAAAAACAAAACACGTTCAAATGTTTTTAGCTCCTTTCAACAATTACTCTCTAAACGATCTTATTACAAGTTGGAGAGCTTTCTTGTAATTGCCTCTATGCCCTTTTGTATATTTCATACCATCAAATGAAATATTTGTTTCATAAAAAAAAACAAAACAAAACACGTTCCTTTTGTAACTATGGATAGATTACGGCCTCTACATGGTATCTCCCTCCCAAAGCCTTTTTTTGTAATTACAGTCTAACGACGTTAATACGTGATTGGAAAGCTGTCCTACACTAGTTTTTTGTTAGGCAGGGGCTTTCTCATCCCTCGGCCTCTAGGCCGTTCCTCTTTCTCTTTTTCAATACGGATCTAGCATTCCTATAAAAAAAAAAAATTAAATCTAATAATAACCCGAAAAAATCTATATTATAAAAGATACAGTTTTGGATGTTCTGAGCTGAAATTACAGTCTTCTAAGTAAATATCAAGCATAATGTGCTCTTTTTCTTTTTTCATTAACCATAATGTGCTCTTTTTCTAATCTACAGGATATATGTATCACCAACATTTATGGCCCAACGAATTACAAAGAAAGGAAGAAATTGTGGTCTGAAATTTGTAATATTGCTGGATTCTCTATCAAACTTTGGTGTATGGGAGGGGATTTTAATGTCACGAGATGGGCTTCTGATCGGTCTTCGGGTGGAAGGCAGTCTAAGGCAATGAGGAAATTTAATAAAATCATTGAAGAGCTTGAAATCCAGGAAATTCCCTTATCCAATGGCCGGTATACATGGTCAAAGATGGGAAATAACAATACGCATTCATTGCCGGACAGATTTTTTGTTTCTTCAGATTGGGACTCCCTCTTTCATAACTCTTGTGTATATAGAGGTGAACGTATTACATCAGATCACTACCCTATTCTTCTAGATTCAGGAGAATTTGTTTGGGGGCCTTTCCCTTTCAAATTCTTTAACTCCTGGTTGAAAGATAAGGACTATATCAACTTAATTGAATCCAAGCTTTCGGAGGATAGATCCTACGGGTGGGCAGGTTATCTTATTTCTGCTAAGCTTAGAAATCTGATGAAGATTGCTCTGAAGCAATGACACAAACAGAAAGAAAGGAAGGATAAGGTTGCAGAAGCAAAAATTATTGAAGAAGTTTCTTTGCTTGATGAGAAAGAGGAGGAGTCGGGATTAGAAATCGAGGAAGTGGGGAAAAGATGTTCATTAAAACAGAATCTGCTTGATCTTTATATTCGAGAGGAACAATATCTTTTGCAAAAAAGTAAAATCAGGTGGTTGGCTGAAGGAGATGAAAATAGCAAATTCTTTCATTGATTCTTGGCAGCAAAAAGGAGAAAAGCTCTAATTTCTGAGATGCAAGATTCTGCAGGGAATTCTCTTGTGAATTTGAGGGATATTGAGATGGAAATTGTGCAGTACTTTGAATTTCTTTACAGAGAGGATGGACAGCAGCGATTTTTACCAATTGGTTTCAATTGGAGACCTATTTCCGCTCAGAATAGTGTCTGGTTAGAAAGACACTTCGAGGAAGGAGAAATTTGGGATGCTTTAAAAGGCCTTGGCAAGAATAAGGCCCCAGGGCCCGATGGCTTTACAGCAGAGTTTTTCATTAAATTCTRGAAGTTCTTGAAGGCAGATTTTGCAAGATTCTTTGCTGAATTTTTTGATAATGGCAAACTGAACTCGTGTATTAAGGAGACTTTTATATGTCTTGTTCCGAAAAAAGACAAAGTGGAGAAAGTAAAAGATTTCCGTCCCATTAGCCTTWCGACGACTACTTATAAGATTTTGGCAAAAGTGCTRACAGAGAGGCTTAATAAGGTTATCTCTTCTACCATCTCTAGTAATCAAAGTGCTTTTTTAAGTGGAAGGCAGATTCTTGATCCTATTCTCATTGCAAATGAAGTGGTGAATGATTATAGAAGTAGAAAGAAGAAAGGGTGGATTTTGAAACTCGATATGGAAAAAGCTTTTGATAAAGTTGATTGGGCATTTCTTTCAGAAGTCCTCGAACAGAAAGGCTTTGGCAAAAAGTGGATTAATTGGATAAACGGTTGTATTAGAGGCAATAACTTTTCGGTTTTCATTAATGGGAGACCGAGAGGGAGAATTAAAGCTTCAAGAGGGTTGAGGCAAGGAGATCCCCTTTCTCCTTTCCTATTCTTATTGATAAGCGATGTRCTTAGTAGTTTTTTGGACAGCATTTACCAAAAAGGAGTGTTCGAAGGTTTTGTTGTGGGGAGKGWTTCAATTCACATCTCCCACTTGCAATTTGCTGATGACACATTATTGTTTTGTAAAGATGATGATGAGATGCTTAAGATCCTATTTGAAGCCATTAAAGCTTTTGAGTGGTTGTCSGGCCTTAAAGTGAATTGGGAAAAATCATCTTTGAGTGGCATAAATATGGAAGACCAAAGGGTTGTGCAGGTTGCAAATTCTTTTTGTTGCAAAGCTGAACGTCTTCCTATTTTATATTTGGGCCTGCCTTTAGGAGGAAATCCCAAACTGGATTCTTTTTGGGCTCCAGTTCAAGAAAKAATTTCTAAGAAACTTGATCGTTGGAAAAAGTATCACTTATCAAAAGGTGGAAGAGCGACTTTATGTCAATATGTACTTGGGAGCATTCCCCTTTATTACTTATCTATTTTTCAAGTCCCAGTGAGAGTTAGTAAACAAATTGAGCAAAAAATGCGTTCCTTTTTGTGGGGCGATTCTTCGAAAGGATCCTTGAGACATTTGGTGAGATGGGATATTGCCTCCCTCCYGCGGGAAGCAGGTGGTTTAGGCATTGGTTGTATTCTTAAGCGCAACAATGCTCTTTTATCTAAATGGGGATGGAGGTTCAGCATGGAGACAGAAGCTTTATGGCGTAGGGTGGTGGCCAGCTTATATGGCTCTGACCGTTTTAATTGGAATGCGATACCTAAACTTCATGGTTCGAGTCGTAGTTCTTGGAATAATATCAACAAACAGTGGCTTCAGGTGGAGAAATCCTCTTTTTTCAAAGTTGGCAATGGTCGGAGAACTCTCTTCTGGCATTTTTTATGGATTGGAGTCTCTCTCTTAAAGGATAGATTTCCTTCTATTTACAGCATTTCGGCTTCTCCTCTTATTTCGGTTTCGGAAGCTTGG